CTAAAATCGAAGTAAAGAATTATCACTGACTGACCAACATCTCTTCTCTGGGTAATTTGATCAAAAAACTCTAGGTGCGATGTGAAACATGAGGGTTTAGTCATGAACCCATGTTGGGATGGGCTGATCAGACTATCTGAAAGTAAAAATGATAGTAGCTGTTTGTGGATGATTTTTTCCATGGTTCTTGAGAGAACGGATGTCAAATTAATTGGCCTATAGTTGATAAAATAATGGGAATTCTCTACTTCCATACTTCACAAATGATGTAGGTATCCCGTCAGGTCCACCATCATAAGACTTTTTCAGGGCAGTTATGGCCTGCTTGATGGCGGAGGGTGTGAAATCGATTTTCGACAAATGTCTGGATGTTGGCATTGGAAATGTAATGCTGGAGATTTCAGTTCCAGTTTTGTAGCATTGCGAGAAGTTCTTGCTGAATTGTTCGCATATAGTATTCGGGTCGTTAACAATGCTTCCGTTAACTATGAAGAATTTGGTCGTGCCAAGGGAATTTGACTTTACATTGGATTTAAAAAAAACGAAGTATTGATAATTCTGGGCTTTTACTACGTAGAGCTTTATTTTCTATATTCATGAAATACTTACTTTTTTTTTTTATTATTATTAATGGCTTTATTCAATATTATATATTACGTTTAGATGAAGCATTTCTGTCGATTAATTTAAGTATACTCTGAAGTGCATACACATCATTCTGCTCATCGTAGCGGTATTTTAATTTCCTCAGCTTTCTTTTAAAAGTATTTTGGCCCCTATTAGCATTATAAGCCACACGGCCAATAACTGGAGCAGTGCAGTCAAAACAATATATCAGGTTGTGATATAGATTGGAAAGCGCGATGTCAACATTATTTGTGGTAAAATAAGTTTCCCATGGTAAACATTGAATGAGAGTTTCAGTCCGTTTCCATGTTTAATGATCAAAATATCTGCTCTGGTACGTCATTGAAGCTTTAGAATTCAATTGTATGGCGTTTAAAGAGTGAATAATACTCAATACAACTCTATGGTCACTCATAAAAAACTCATGACTGGTATGCACTGAGATAGAGTCTATGTTGATTGTGAACATTAAATCAAGTGTATTATTCCCACTAGTTGGGTTTCGGATCTGTTGAACCCATCCACAAACTTCTAATGTTTCAACTAGCTTGTTATATCGACCTGGAACCGGAGTCAAGCCCCATGTAATTTTTGGCAGATTAAACTCACCTCCGATGATTTTGAAAGTATGCGGTTGATGCGAAGCAATGGAAAATATGTTTGTTATTAATCTGTCAAACTTAGTATCCGCATGAGGTTGTCTATATATGCATTCCACCAGTAAATAATTTGGGGATCCACAGTTTATAGTAACCCAAGTGGAGTCTTCTATAGCATCAAGAGATTTATCCTCAAATTTGCACGCTTGAATGTCTGAACGGACATAGATAACTGTACCGCCTCCTATTCCATAACATCTATCGGTTCTAAAGAAAACGTAGTTATCTACATTCAAGGAATGATCGGATATAGATGAATTACACCACGTTTCCGTAATAAGTACAATGGTTGGATTTACAAGGAATAAAAGAGTTTTAAGATGAATAATTTTATTAGACAGAGAGCGGGCATTGAACGAAAGAATAAGAAACTCAGAGTCATCATAGTGAAGCAGGTTAGAGTATAAATCGCAATTGGTAGTTCCATTAATACTCATAGGATTAGCTAAGGTAAGAGTCGTGTTGCGAGGGGAAATAGATTCAACCACTTTGTCATCATGTGAAATATGTTTACCGTTGCCGGCAGAAAAGCCGGCCTGAAAAACTAGAGAACAGCGTATTTATCGATCGATTCAATGACACGTAAACACGTACGAACATAATGGACCACCTAGAGCTACGATTGGTCCTGATTCCCTGTCTATCCCAGCCAGTTGGGTCCAGAACACAAATCTCGGTCTCTGAGTTATGTATTTCAGGCATACTCTGTTTATATACTAACCAAACATGCCACATCGTACCATAAAAATAGAAAACAATATTTTGTACAATATTCAACAAGTGGACAGATATCGACCAGTAGGAAATGTCCATTTAAAGTCCAAGGACACCATTGGACTTAACATGATAATTATTGTTCTATCCTTCCGCATCTACAACACACAAGACTACTCAGAAAATATATATTCAATATTTAACGCGGAGAAATACCTAACGATGGAAAAGGCGGGAACAGTTAATTGAATGAATTAGAGTCGATCGAATGGCATGGATCTGACATGCAGGCGTGGTCCCTGCTGAATATTACCTTATATCTTTTCTTCATACAAATATATTGTTCTTCTCCAGCCTAAGCTCGTTCTTCATCATGTATTGGTAGTTGGTACGATACAGTGAGTTGGTGTAGACGATGATGTGACTTCTACGTAAGATTTTATAAATTAGACAGTTATATCATGACAAATCTACAATTTTAGGATTCGGTCTATTATTAGAGCAGTACTAACATCATAGTAGACCATAATTCTACATAGTCATACGAGACTCGATGCCTACTACAATCTTTTCTTAGTTTAGTTTCCAGTTTCACTGTAGTTGTTGTTGTTTACGTTGACTTAGATTTGGATACTTTTACTACGACTCGGTTGTTCACGATAATTTATGTGATGTGGATTACTTTCTTGATAGTTCTCCATCATCAAAGGATATAGAGAGTTGATAGATTGTGGGTTCCTAGGTTCCATATGTCCAAAAACGAACTCGCTGTCACAACTTTCGGTTTCTTATGATATATCGTAGTGTCATTGTTGATAATTATAGTCTAAATCAACTAATTTTTTTTGACCTCTTTATGCTGAGGTTTATTTCTCTGTCTTTTATAATCGTCCAGTACGGCCACTTTAACCAACTAGTTATACCAACCCTAGCTACTTTGTTAGTAGATTCAAGGTTAATAGTTTTGGTCAGACTCTTCTGACGCTGAAAGGTTGCTAGTACAAGCAATTATCTCATCACCGGACAGATGATCGATTTGTTTCAATATAAGAAATTATAAAATAAGAGTTTAGAGATGACAAAGGTCAAAATAACTAAACAAATTGACTAAGTAAACAAATAAACGGATAGCAATTTAAATGGAATTGATTGGCGGGAGTGAAAGAGAGTGAGATGGAGGGAAATTGACTGATAAAAACAATAATTATAGTGGGAATAATGGCAGCAGTCATGAAAAAAGAAATATACACCAGAAACAGCCGTTCTGGATAAACGTGGATGTCAAGCCTTCGCTTAGAACTGTCTCCTGATTGAGTTATGATCACAACACATGGAGGCCATTCGAGACAATGCTAATTCGTAATGTAAAATTTTTTATCTTACCAAGGCAATAGCTTTTCGACACATACATTTTCGTGGATTTTATCATGGAGGATAAGTCTCGAGTGCAGGTTACATTTATTAGTGAGATCCTTTTGGGAAGTTTCTTGCATGAAAATCCCGAACTACATCTACGTTGTTTTAGTCGATATTTGGTTTTAGCGGCTATTGAATTAGATCTTTCTTTTTAGTGACTGAATTACTTCAGTTGACTGGAAGTGTGCATTTTGACTATGAATCGGATCACTGTTCTAGTACTGGATAAAATAAATTTCCTATATTGATAAATAAATTTATTTGTTGCACGTGGTAATTCTCTTATAGCCTTTGTCAATTTACTTGGTGAGATTTCGAATGACTACTACAATTATTGGTTGAATAATTGAGTGGTAACATTTGTTTAGGTAATAAACGTTCAAATATTTAACAAAATTTGATAATGATAATAATTTCGAACTTTAATGAATCCAATTCAATTGTTTCGATTGCAACAGAGATAACGCGTATGTTAATTAACTTCAACAGTTATTCCTTATTCAAAGCTGCTTTAGTTTGGAAGCTACGGTCTTGAATGGGATGACTCAAAGTGCCTTATATGTTGTACTCTGTCTTAAAGTCCCTCCGTGTACCCTCGTAATTTGGGGCTATCAACCCCTAGTGTGTGGGGGGCTTTCTATGTCTCGTTGGCTCTTTAGTCTTACAATCCGCTTTGTAACAGTTTTAAGTATGCTATATGACACTAGTGTTTCTTTCATGGGGAATGGTTTGACAATGTGTGTTTCATCATGTTTTAAAACATAAGTCTTGAGTAACATCATAAAGATTCTAGGATTTGACACGTCCAGCTACGTTCAGAGATAATGTAGTTCGAATATGAATCTATTCCTGAGCGTCAATTTTTCTGGAATAGCGAGCTCTCTTTGGTGTTCACGTGAACCACCCTTGTATTTGAATACTTTTCAACATTTCTCACTGTCTCGGCGGATGAAGACTGGGCATTTTATGTATACTGAGGGATCACAGATAAATTTTAGGAATAATAACGGGCAGAGCCTGGTACATAGTGAAACTCGAGAAACAATAATAAACTTGGCCTTACTTATTTAACGTCTGGAACCATCTGTGAAGTATCAGACGATCATGAACCAAGTCAACTAGTACGGGATGAACCAAAATGGATGAGTGAAAGCCAAAAAAATAAATTGTCGATGCTCTCAAATAAAATGATAGCATAATAAAATAATAGCATTGTCCCAGAACGGTTGGCGGTCCAGCGGAGTTAAGATTTGATAACTCTTATCTGGCGGAACTAGCTGGCCATTTTTGAAAACGTTTCCGTTTCTCAGAGGTAAAAAACGCACTGGGTAAATGAGATCTTGTCAAGAAATCGTTATTCTCGAGCACTGGCTTGCGAGAATAACACCGAGCGATTGTTTATTGAATACAGAAATTTCTATCGTTCTGCATTCTGTAGATAAGAATTGGATGTTATCAGCCAAGAAATTAAAATATAATGTCATACAAAACATTCTGTAGACAGCCAAGTAATCATTTGTTATTGGGACCTTATTCTCTGAACACCAGGACAGAATAATAAAATGCCGATCGGTAGCCTTTATATGACCTTGAAAGTCGTCCTTTTTTCAAAATTACTACTTATTTTCACTGACAGCATAACTATGTACAAACAATATAAGGTAGGGATAGTTAACATTATATATTTGCCTCACAAATATAAGCTTTCTCAAGACCTTCGGGTTCGCCGAGTTTGCAGCAGAGCACCTGCCTTTTCTACGAAATCTCTGCAGAACGGGACAAAAGGTGTGACAAGATTAGAAGATTATGTTGGAAAATACTTGGTCGCCATATTTTATCCTTCGAACTTGTAGGTTATTTTAAAAGAATTACTGTCAACAATTACAGACATGTTTTCCTTTATTTTGAGGAAATTTGTTTAAACTTGAGGGGTTTCGCTAAAGTTGTAAGAATATGGTAGCTTTTACCAAGGTTTCTGAAATGTTTCAGGAAAAACCCTCAAACGTTATAAGATCCTGCGAAAATATTAAAAAAACTCAGTATTTCTCAAAACACTTTGGGGATTGACCACAGACCTATGGAAATTTCGAGGTTTTTATACCAAAGTTCTCTATTTTAGCTCCTTCGAAATTTACTCAAAACAGGCAAAAGTTCTTCAAAATAGGGAGATTGGGATGTTACCAATTTTTGTACAATAACATATATATATATATATATATATATATATATATGGGGTATACGAGATAATTAGACAATATTGTTTATTTAGTTTTTCGTGTAAGACGTTGCATTTCTTGGCCGCTTCACTGGAAATGAGGGATCTGTCTGTGGGTTTGTCCGGCTTTGATTTTTAATATTATTTTTATGGTCTAGTTAAAGATTGATCTTAGATGGAGTTAAACTACTATATAACATTCATTTAAGACCAAAAATGTCAACTTGACACTACTTTAGGGTTTAAAATAAGATAAGGGGAAGAGACTTGAATGCTTTTATGTTCGCCATAGAATGGATTGGGGAGTCTTATCACTCAAATTATCCACTCGTTGAACTCACCCAAGTGTATTAACTTTCTCGTTGAGACAGAGTGAAGCAGACCGATGCAGAATCTGAGGTGAGGTATCAAGCTGATGGAGAATATAATCGGAAACACTTATTCACTAATGGACTTAAAGACTTTGAGAAGTGGTCACAGCGCTAGAAAACGTTTGTTAATCACTGCTTTAGAACGTTTACTAGTTTCTAATTTATGGCTTATCATTACTGATTAATACGGGTCTTTAGCCTTACAGTATTCAGTAGAAGACACAGTACATAAAACAAGACTCCATTGTCGGGCAACGTCTAAGAATTCAGCCTAGAACTTTCTGTCAAATCTGTATTTTTACTAGGGTTTCACTTTTGTCTTACCAAGCTCTCCACTTATCTTCATCTAATTTTTCACTGGGTTCAATTCTAAAGTTTCACTAGAAATTAGCTTATTGATAAATCATCAAAAACTTCCTGCATTAGTCAACTGAATTTCAAAACAAAAAATATTTCATTAGGTTGGCTTCACAGCATGCTAATGGAGATTACAGAGGGACTCTAATAAACGCTATTGCAGTGATTACTTCTAAGTTTAGAAAAATAGAATGCAGATTCAGATAAATCGTCGTTTCTTCACGAGAAAAAGTGTTTGCAAAGACTAAACTGTTTTTATTTGAAGGGCATGAAAAGACAAAGAAAGCGTAAAATGTCTAGCAAAACGCAAAGTATCATCGGTGCTTGTTTGTTTATCTACAGCTTCAGCCTAACCGATAAATATTTATATTTTGGAAGACATTATTGAACCCGTATAAAATTTTATAAGCTAAACCAAATTAAATTTTCAAATTCTTAAGTTTACACTAAAGAGCATATATTTACTGAATGACAAAAGATCGGTTGAAACCAGAAAGCTATATTCAAAGTTTTTCAAACTAAGGAATTAAGGGAAATACATAATGGTCTGGTCAAAATTAATCAACAGAAAATGGAAAGAACAATTTGTGTATGCGCTAATAATTAGAGCAAACAACAAAACAAAAAATGGGTAGGAGAGATATCGATTGAGCCATTCTATTTGGTACATTTTAAATCGAATGTGTATTAAGAACTGAAAACTCAAAAAGTTTTGGAGTTGAACTGAACAAGTGAACAGATATTTTATTTATTATATAAAGGTTAAAGGCGGAGTGCACGAAGTATGACCTTTTTTGACGCAACATGAATGATATTATTTAGTACAACTCAATAGCAGTTTCAAAACTTAAATTGCTTTCATAAGAAGCAAAATATAGCAAAAAATAATTAGTGTAATTGTTGCTATCATCCCAAATTCAACTAATTTTTACATATAATTTAACCAAATAATAATCGTCTCTTTACTAATTATTAGCTCTAAGATTAACTCTAAGGAAGAGTCAAAACTGATGGAGTCCAACCACGTAAAAGGTAGACAGTGACGCAACAATGTATTTTGGATGTCTTGTGCTCCATACTGAGAATCATTTGATTTCTGAAGTATACTCCACTGAATTCCAACTGATGTAAATCAACTATCTCACTAAAAAACATAAAATATGAGTTAACAACTTTAATTACGATGTTGTGAGCTGAGTCGACAAGATTAGATCAGGATTAATTACTAGACTACATAAACTTGAGAATTAACCTATGATTAAATGCATTCACTTCATATTTTCCTAAATAAAAAAAATGAAGCTATTTATAATTACTATGCTGAATAGATATACGTATGCAAACGATTATAATGTTAACCTTGATGCTCCTTCATTTACTGTGCAAGAATTCTTCTGTTTTTGCTCTACGTAAAAGCAATAGATCACTATCCTCAATTTTACGGAAAACAACTACTAAAAAGACCTTGTATTATACTTGCTAGGCTAATAGCTAGGTGAATACGCAAACATCAAAATATATTTGTCCATTGCTTAGTGAAGAGTAATAAAAGAATTGAGTGGACGATCAGTCTTTTTGTTTATGAAAATTTCATTTAAACTTCTTGGTAGGTTCATAATAATTTGAAACAGGTATCTTGGTGTCGACGTAAGCCATGCAGAAACTAAAGCTCGTCTGACTAATGATACTGATTGAGGTTAAAATGTTAAATATACTTTGTTTTGGTGTTAGGTGTTGTATGACATTTAAAAAGAAGCCCTAGGCATAATTTTAGTGTTAATTGGTACTTGTTGACAAGGTTAGCCTACAATATCGTGAGAACTGATTCTGTTCTTGAGATTCAAACCACGTGCCACCAGTAGCTATAGTTCTCTTCACGTTTCAGACATCTTGCCGATGGGTGATAACCAGTACGTGACTTGTATTCAAGGTTTTTTCTAACTGTCTTAAATCACTAACTAACTAAATATTGTTACATTATATTGTTATTTGTGCAACTGCCTTCATTCTCTGTAGAGTATAATTAATTTATCAGTCCTTTTCATACTAAATTATTTATAGCCTAAAACTATCATCACAAGAGCTATTAAATTTCAACAGTTATTTGTCAAACTTTCAAGAAATCAATTGTGAAATTTTAGCAATCTCTCCGGATTCCCTAGAATCTCATATCGCATGGTATTGTGCGCCAATTCAGAAGAATGGACTTGGTGAAAATGTCCACTTTCCATTACTAGAAGATAAAAATATGAGAATCTGCAAAGCATATGGAGTTTCTAATGAGGATAACGGAAGTGCTTTAAAGTAAGCCTTTCTATAAAACCTTTTCATTGTAATAGAGCTCAGGAAGTAAGACTAATAATCTTTTTTAAAATTCGCCATGTTGTAGGCTTTGGAGGATTATTTGAATTCACTCATTACTCATCACTAAATAGGAGCGTTTTCGATAAAATTTGTCCAAAATTAAGAAATACAAACGTGAGACTGTATACTGTTCAACAGTCAATTTTAATTCTATATGAAATTTGTTGCTAATAGAATATTTCACCAGTATTATCTTCGAATATGACACTAATAATGAAGAACGCCAGCTTGTTTAACAAGGTAGAAACGCTCTGCTGACTAGAATTGAACAGTTTGAGATCTGTATCCGAAATGTAACAATGGTTCTCTCCAATCACTTAGTTAATAAAGTATTAACCCTTAATTTAATGTTTATGAAATTCGTGTGGTCATTAAAACTGAAAAACGCCATTATATTCAATCATATCCAGAGAAGTGATATGCTGAAGTAGTAGGATGTATGTATCATAACTCTTAGCAAGCTCATTATAGCCATATTTCTATTTTTAGCGTATACCGGTTAAAATTTAACAACGTTAACGTCGTGTTTTCATATCAGGGAACATTTATCCAGGTTTATTGAAACATAAATATAAACATTATTTTAGATGATTGTTACTGTAATGATGAATGGATGAATGTTATTTCTTGTTGATAATTCAAGTTTCGATAAAGTATACTGTTTACTTATTTGTAAAGTTAAATTAGTGAAGTGGAAGTTAAACTGGGATGTTCCTTTTACGGTGTTGCTTAAGTCGAACATTTATACAATATGTCAGTCTCCTAAACACTAGATATATCTTCAAGCATCGCCAATAATTTAAAGTTTGATTTATAATTCACTGAGTTGGAAATGGATTTAGCGTTTACAGAAGAAGGTACTGGGTTTAAGTACCGATGTGATTATCAGCATTTAACTGAAGAACCACAAACAGGAAAAAGTGTGCATTCTGAATTCGGCTACTAGCCGCGATCGTTCTATTTTATATAATTTGTGACATAATGACTATACGGATACAATCGGTACAGCTTGCACATTTGTCAACAGCGGCATCAAATTCAGTCCTTTTGTCAAGTGAAATGATTCATATCGTTCCTTTTTGGATTGGTATTATCTAGATCACTGAATATACAAACGGCATTCAAGCCAAAGCAATATATATTTTCTTTTTCCTTAAATTTATCAAAATAAATTATAATAAAAATATAATAGATTGGTTGCATTTTTCAGTTGGAGCTTCTTCGTGTGTTGGATCAACTTTCTAGCATAATTCTGAATGATATTCAACTTACGCAACACAAGATATTATTATTTGAACACAGAAAGTTTCTTTACACAACTGATAACTACATCTAAAAAATAAAACACCAAGGCATACGCTGAAACACAATTTATCGTGCTGATTAGCAAAAACAGGTTTCAACGTTCAATTTGATATAGATATACAGGTCATTGATCTGTAGTTCTTATGTAAAGGTTTTGACAGGAATCGTGGTGCGATTCATCTTTATAGTGAGGACGAACACTAAATTATAAATTCTGTAACAAGTATTATTACAGTTGTTAGGATATATCTAGATAGTAGCTAGTGATGAGATGCATGATGAATGTTCTGTCCCACTTCTGTCTTGTTACGAGGAATTAATTGTATCTCAGTGCTTATGTTTACATTAAAACTAGAATCTGATATTGAATGCTTTAAACCCCAATAAGACTGTTTACAGAGCTACTGCTGCTGAAGAGATAAAATTATCTACTATAATACAACGTTGATAAATGTCATGCACGACTGGTCAGCTTCAGATTTGTAGGTCCGTTATCCTCAAATGAATTAAATCCTAAGTGTTAGAATTTCGCATTTCATTAATTTTCGTTGTTCGTTAAGTTTCAACATATGTTTAATATATTACAAACGTATTTCATAGGTATGCTGCAACCATTCATCAATTTTATTATTCTTTAAAACTGAAACTCAACTGAGATATTCATTTATTCTATGTCTGTTGGAAGTATTTAATTGATCTTAGGTGTGAAGTTTCTTTGAATATTCTTAACTAAAATACTCAACATATTGTAATTAAGAAACTATCCTATTACTATACAACAGCTTAATATACAAAAAATGAGTATGGTTAATTCTGATTATTACGCTTGTAAAACACAACGGCGATAATAGTAATTACGCAAACCACTCACTTAGTCAAAGACAATGACCTATTTACTTTTTGTCGTACATCTAAATTTTTCAATCAGATCGTGATGTGGCAACCAACCTAAACGACTTGTTTAATGTTCATAGAATTGATGTATTGCGGCTAGTAGTAGTAACTAGGACGAGCGTTTCATCTTACCTGGAACTCGTCAGTTGTGTGTACCTCCTTCTTAATGTTGATGTTCAGTTTAAGGTTCATTCATATGAAACCTTTCAAATTCGCCTAATGTCATGTTTATAGAGGAGAATTAATAAGACATTTTGGAGTTATGCTAATAGGTGACATCCATCACAATGTATCTAGCTGCAAGGATTTCCACAAATTGCTTTGATCGTTTAAAATGACCATATGAATAAGAGACGGTTTGTATTTTGAACCGATTTGTCATGATCCGAATGTGTTAAATCATTTAACTTGGACCAAAATATCGTCAGTATCAAAACCTTAGTTTATTAACTAAAGATTCACTGTTACACTTTTGGAGAAGCAACGAATTCTAAATGGTTTTGAACATTAGCATCAAGTATTTTGAGGCATAGTTTATGAGAGGTAGCAAATGTTATTTACCTCACTGTTAATATTAGATATATTCTATCTACTCAACACTATTTCTACTCAGTAATCAATCAAGATGAGTATCTTAGCCATACGAAAGACTAATCCTGGCTCAAGTGGCTCAGCGATAATTTTGTTAACAATGAAAGTGGATAAAATGAGCTAGAATCCCAATAGGAGTACCAGCTCTTTCAACAATACACTGACAACGAATAAGAGCTAACACCAAACTTACTTTCAGGACTTCTTACTGATTACCTTCAACCACTTAACATTACGATAATGCAATGAGAAGACGAAGATTATCAGAACTATGTGATATATTTGCGCAATACATTTCGAACAATCTGATCACACATATACTTGTTAAGAGCATTTATATATAAAAATAAAAGGTCAACTAGACAGGAAATGGGGTAAGAGGAGATAAGGATAATGATAAGAGTAATAATAATAATAATAATGTGAACACAAAGCGAAACCTAATCACTCTGGATAATAAGTCAATATTACCAGGGTAGGTTTAAGGTAAGAACAAACTGTTTTTGAACACATAAAGGGGGTTTGAATTTTCGTATGGCTAAGGCTTCAATGAACCTTAGTATACGCCCTTTTACACTTTTATACAGCACTACAAAAGCTGAATTTAGATCAATCTTGTGACCTGTTTCAATTATATGTTTAGCAATAGAGGATGATGGATGTTTATCCTCTGCTCTTATTGGGTCACTTGATTGTATTTGTTTCTGAAGCCATTTGGGTACATGTTCACTCACCCTAATGTTGAGATCACGATTACTCCTCCCTATGTATGTGTGACCACACACACATTTAAATTGGTAAACACAGTGGGATGTGACGTAATCGTTTCCATGTACTTTAGGTTTTGAATGAAGCATGCACCTTGTTCTTTCTTTGATGATGACCTTTGCTGCGCAATAGGTTTTATTGATGACTGATTTAAGACGTTGTTTCAGTAAAAGGCTATTTGAATCACCTCTGAATGGTAAGGTGATGTAGACAGGCTTTTTCCCTACCGAGGCTACAGTAGGTCTCGCTGTACCATGGACTTTCCATCTATTTATGAATTTCAGAGGATAGCCATTTTCTATTAACGTTTTATTTAACAACTTAACATCATCATCAATGGCGTCATTGGTACAAATACGGTCGAGTCTGTTGAAAAGACACCTTATCAAACCACGTTTGTATTGCATAGGGCAATACCTATAATAACTAAGATATTGACCTGTCCACGTTGGTTTTCTAAAGATAGATCGCTTTACTGAACCATCTTCTCGTCTACTCAGGAGTATATCTAGGAAGGGAAGCTGATCGTTTTTCTCCTCTTCACATGAGAGACTAATATGGTTTTGGAGAGTGTTGAGTTTATTTAATAAACCGTACATATCCTCTTTTTTCTCACAAACAACTAAGATATCGTCCACATATCTCTTATAAAGTGACATGTTTCCGATTAATTCATCAGTCTGATTTTCAACATGTGCCATGAACACATCTGCTAGTAATGGTCCTAGCGGACTACCCATAGCAACTCCATCAATCTGACGAAAGTATTCACCTTCAAAAGTGAACTGAACTTTGTCAGTACATAGTAATAGTAAATCTTTAAGAAGTTTTAAAGGTACACGTGATTGAAGATTGTTTTCAGATATGTAATCACATAATATATCAATGGTTTTTTTTAAAGGTACATTTGTAAACAAGGAATTTACATCAAATGAACACATTGTCTTTTCCTTGATATTAATATCATCTAAATGATCAACCAGTTCAAAAGAATCCTTTAGAGAAAACTTACATAGATGTCTTCGAATAGGATCCAACAACTTTGCTAACCATTTAGCCAGATTATGTGTAGGTGATCTGCACATTGATAGAATTGGACGTAATGGAACATTAGGTTTGTGAGTTTTAGGCAGTCCATATAAATGAGGGTACTCGGAACCCATAGGTTTTAGAAAGTTAAATTCCTCTTTATTAATAATATTCATGAGAAGCAATTTTTCCAGGTTTGAATTTACTCTTCTTTCTAGTTTGCTGATACCTCCAAATTCAACATCAGGCATAAATTTACTTTCATCACTAAGGATAGATAACATCTTACTTTTATAATCACATTTATTCATGATAACTACGCCTGATCCTTTATCAGGTTTTAACAGGACAAT